GTCCAGAGAGCTGGGCCATGGGGGCTGGGCCTTCATGTGGCACATATTGACATCAAAGTGGCTTTTGATTGGTTGCCAAGTCAGCAGCCCTCCCTCAGTTCCCTTGTGCCACTGTTGTGTTTGTTTAGATGGAGCAAATGGGCCAAAGGTGGTAACCGAACCCAGCCACCGTCCAACATTAAACAGTGTTAAACAAGGGGCAGGGCGGGGGTTGGTACCCAGAGACCTCAGCCTGCCGAGGACCAGGGCAAACACCCCATTAAACAGCCTGTTCACCTGCTATTACAGCTACAGAAAAGGACAACAAACAGTTAAAGCATTTGAAATGTAAAGCAGTAAATCAGGCTTTTCTTCCAACAGCATCCCGTGTTCCCTTGCCCTGTAGCTGGAGAGGGTTGTAGAAGGAAAATCCCCCAGCTGTTTGACCGTCTCCTAGACGGTATCAGCTGTTTGACCGACTCCTAGACGGTATCAGCTGTTTGACCGACTCCTAGACGGTATCAGCTGTTTGACCGTCTCCTAGACGGTATCAGCTGTCGTTATGGGAAGAAGTGAAGAAGTGAGTTGAGATGAGCTGGAGCTGCTGCTGCTGTTAAAGTCAATCCCGCTTCATCCCAGGTGGTCGGGATTCAGCTGTGGCCGGTGGAGGTGGCGATATCGGCAGGATCTCTCTCTCTGGCCTGTTCTGGTCAGGAGGCCTCTCAGGGTCAGGACGACCAAAGCCCAGGGTCCCTGGAAATGGTGGAGGTAGCAGCCATGATGGTGAAGCTCACTTGAGTAGTCACCGTCTGTTCTTCCTCTCCATCCTTCTGTCCGTCTTTTCCCCACCTCCAAAGTCTCTTTAAGGACCCACATGGGGAGCAGTGGGGGAATAGCCCATCCCCTCGGTATTTTGTCCACCAATTAGGCCTGATATCTGAATATATTAACTTCTGGCTCCACATCATCTGTTTCTAACCATTAGAATTTCAACACTTCTTGGATTGTATCAGCATGGCCTTCTGGTGTACGCTAATCCAGTCTCTCTCTGGTTCTCTTGCACCTGTTTATAACATTCTTTATTGAAAATGACTTGACCTACACTGTACATTTCTAAGCAGGCAAAAGTTACAGGCCTCCCATGGCAGCAATACGGAGCCTGGCGAGTGCCCGCCCGCTGACTTTCTCCTACCTTCAGACTCATCTTCTACATCCAGTTTGGTGACAAAATGCTTCTTCACCCCCCTCTTAGCTTCAGTTAATTCTCTCCAGTGGACGTTTCGCGCTGTCCGTCCCCCAGTGCAGCGGGACGCGGCGCATTGCACTGACCATGTGTTAGACTCTAAACCTGCAGGGTGTAAGCCAAGCCCCCTGTCGACAGGCATGGCCGATGCCTTTTCTGTCTGGGGCAGCGCCACATCCCCATTAGGTGCACAGGGGGTAAGGACTCGCAAGTCGAGGGAGGCGTGGCTGAAATGTGCGTCACTCAGACCTGGCGGAGACGTCCACCTCCCTCCAAGGAGCCCACAGACTCATCCTCAGTGAGTGTCCTGTGAGCAGACCCACGCCTGGGCTCGAGCAGCACGAGGAGGGCAGGCAAGACAACTGTAACAAAATCGGCACAGGTCACATCAATGCTGTTTGCCCTGGAATTATCAGCACTCCTGCTGGTATCGCAGCACCAAGGCTAGCTACTGCTTTGGCACCGGTACCGGCAGAGCCTGCACCAGCTGCTCCAGCAGAGACACCATCATCACTGCAGCAGGCACGAGTGTAGGGCCAGGCAGAGACAGACATGACTCCAAGCACAGAGACGTCGCCCCATCGGGAGGAAAGGGCAGGGTGCCGTTGTGCTCTGCCAAGGAAGCAGTGCTAAATCACTGACAGAGGCACCACGGAACGCCCTCACTGAACCATTGGGTTCCCTGCTGGGCAGCCATTGGCACAGAGCTGGAGCAGAGACATCCCCTGTGGCACTGGCCGAGGAATATGCCTCGTCATCGTCACCAAACTGTGCCTTCTTCCCAGCACCAAGCAGAGACGCCTTCCCGCTTCTGTCTGACAGCGGCCCTAGAGGCGGTACCGGGGACCCCTCTCGTAGAAGGCCAGAGTGGTGTTGAGCTGTCCTATATACCATGCTACACTGGCTCTTTTTCCTTCCCTCATTCTTCTTAGCAGGCCCAAATATACCCGTCATGCCTGGCCCTGGTCCCACCCCTTACAACTTATGGTCATGTTCTGTCTTGGAGGGTCTTGAGTCTGGGGGCTTCGGTACCCCCTCATGGGAGGGGTAGGGAGTGAGGTTGTGTTTCGGGCAGGATCACCATTTCTTTGGCTTTTAGTGTTTCTTATGCCCCCCCCCCCTTCCCCTTGCCTCTCCTGACCAGTTGCTTGACCTTGGCTTGGGAGAGGAGTCAGGTAGCCTTCAAGTGTATGCTCGTATATAAAACTCCCGCCATACCCAGCAACACTTCAACTCTCTTCCTTATCGTCTCACATTGTGCGGTAAACCCCATCTATAGTGGGCAGATGCTACACACTGTGTCTTTGTTCACACATGTTAGTAAGAATATAAAAGTATCAAAAATCAAACCCAAAATTCTATCTCGGGCTAACAACCAGGCCTAGATACTAACAGTAATGTCTCACCCTCCTGGGCGTAGCGTTCACGGGGGCCATTGTCGACTCCAGCCAGAAAAGGCGTGCATGCCCGAGGGTGGGCTCCAGCACTACAGGGGCCAGGACAGCCATGTCTTGCAGCGCTAGCTGGCGTGTTAGCATGCATGCACAGGGAGACTCTTGCCGGACGTCAGCTGCGGTCCCTCTGACTCTGGCTCAGGTCGGTCTCGTCTCCACCGTGCCTTCCAATCAGGAGGGATGTGTCTGCCCCAGCATGTCACTGCAGAGCTGCAGGTGGTTGGGCCCCACACACCCTTTCCAGTCCCCTCGCCAGTGAAGACACTGATCACGGATGTGTCAGGCTGGGGGCTCACTTGGATCAGTTACAGATTCAGGGGACTTGGTCCCCGGCCGGCGTGGAGGGAATATCCTGGAGCTCAGGCTGGTGTGACATTCCTACCTGTCTGCTGGAATTCAGCCCTGCAGAGCTTCCTGCAAGACACATGCAGCATTGAAAAGGAGACGCCTGCTCCTCACACGTCTGGAGGCCGTCAGGGTCTGGACTCGATGCCGTCCAAACAAGGTGTCTCCGTTGGCCCTACCATCGCCCACGGCAGCCAGCAAGAACCGAGAGGGTTTCATGAGCAGTCAGCAGCCACGCATGGTCCCCGCACAGACCCATACTTTGCCTTGGGGGTTCCCCTAAGAGGCCCCTTCGCCACCACAGACGATGCCGAAGGTCAGAACTTTGGCTCCCAAGAAGGGCTGAGCCCAGGATCGTCCCCGGAGCTCGTCCTCCTGCAGTAGAATGGAGCCTGCTGCACCCGATTCCCACGGTGATCTCCCACAGTCCGTCTCATTGCCCCGTTGGCCAAGGCAGTTGTGACTCACAGCCCTGTGACAAATGTCCGTCCAGCCGCCGATCCGGCTCCTGGAGCTCCGTCCAGACCCGGGGTCGCTGCACCTGATGGCATGGCTGTGGGCTGACTCAGTGCCACGGGCAGGCACTGCTCCCTGGGGGCCTAGGAAATCCTACCTGAATGCAGGAAAATATCTGCCAGACTGACGGACTCCTCTAGGTGGAAGGTGGTCTCAATATGGCAGCCCAGCCCAGTTTGGTCTGAGGCCCAGCTTCAGACCCAAAGATCCTGGACTCCCTGTTACACTGGAAGCAGGCTGGCCTTCGCTTCGCTCTGTTAACGCGCCTCTTGCAGCATTTCAGCTCACTCACCTGTGCGGTCATGCCTGGTCTTTTCACACACCCCTCTCCCTAGTGTCGAGATTTCCAAGGGACTCCTGCGTTGATCAGAGAACCTGCCTCTGCCTGGGACCTCCTGAGAGTCGTGGGGGAGCCTCGGTTCGAGCCGCTCTCAGGACGGTCCCTGCACCACCTCACTCTGAAGTCGGTCTTGCTAGTGGCTGTGACTTCAGGGACGTATTGCCGAGCCTCCCTATGGGACAAGATGGTGCTGAGACCTCAGCTGACGTTCACTGCTGAGTTGGTCTCAGTTTTCCATCTGAATGGGCCAGTCCCTGCCAGACTTCCTCCCCGAGTCGCGCTCGGTGCCAGGAGAAAAGAAACTACACGCGTGATGCATCCAGGGCTTTGCTTTGTTGTATTGACCAGACCAAACCATTCCGACCCCCCCATCCATTTGTTGCCAGAGCCCTGGACCAAGCCATCTCTTCACAGAGACTCTCGAAGTGGATCACACGCTGTACCTGGCGGCGTTACCAGCTGGCTGGGGCCTCCCCGCCGGCACACTCCTCCAGAGCCCAGGCAACACTTCCGTCTGCTCCAGACACATACCAGTATCCGAGAACTGCAAGTAACCCGCTGACCTTGTCAAACCCTATGCCTGGGATTCACCAGCTAGGTCTGAGCCAGGGACTCCAGTCACGGCCAGCTGGAGCGCCTCATTCCCCGCCCTGAGGGACACTGCTCGCCAGTCACCAGTGGGCTCCATGCTGACCTGTACTCGGAGAGACTGGTTACTTACCAGGCCGGAGCTGTGGTGCTTCGAGATGGTGCAGTCCATGTGGATCCCATGACCCACCCTCTGTCCCTGTTGTCAGAGCCTTCAGCTACCAGGGGCTTCGACCTGCGAGGGACCGTCACAGCCACCCTGCCCCCTCTCCCCTGGCACGGGAGCATGAGGGTCTCTCTGCCCCAGCGCTACAGGGGATGAGACACATTGCCGGTGGATTTCCTGCTGTTGGCTGATCGCGGATGAATACAGAGACTTGGGACTCAAGTTCAGGAGTATTCTGCCTCTGTCCCGCTCTACCCGTATCCACTCCTCAACCTGGCTCCGGTCCCCCTCTCCTCCTATCTGCCCCCCTCCTGCCCTGTCCCCCATTTCACACAGCTCTGTTTGAATCAACTCTTCCTCTTTCTTCTGATGCAGGGAGCCGGGCAGGGAACATTTGGTCCCTGCAGTCAGGGCTGGCCCCAGTGCGGTGCTACGGGCGCGGTGCTATGGGAGCTGGGCAGGGGACGTGGCAGGGAACATGTTGGCCCCAGTATGGTGCTACGGGCGCGGTGCTGCAGGGAGCCGGGCAGGGAACATTCTGCCCCTGCGGTCAGGGCTGGCCCCGGTGCCCCAGTGCGGTTGTAGAGGGCTCTGTCCCCCTCAGTTGAGGTGTGATGGCAAAGGCCGATCCTTGCCACTTGCTGTCTGTCGGAGTTGGAGCGTTAGCTCCTGTGGCCTGGCCAAATTCCAGCCTAGGTAATTTGTTTGGCTGAGCTAACCCCCTGCAGTTGTTTCGTAGAGGATCCTCCTTCACCTGCTGATCTCATCTATTTTGCAGCATTTCTGTGTGGCTGTTACAGGTGCCCAGTTCCACCCCAGAGGGGACTGCACCTCCATATGGGTGGGGTGATGGAAGAGTGCTTTGGAGGCCTCGTAGCTGGAAGGTGCTACAGGAATGGCAGTTGCTCTGAGCCAGCCTATTCCCTGCAGGAGAGAGGGAGTAACCCCCCCCCCCCGCCCCGGTTTCCTCTCCAGTCCTGTGGGGTGATGGGTCCTTTGGACTCAGGATAAAGCCTGTGCCATGCAGTGCATCCTGCCCCCTGCTCACGAGCTTCCCTTACTCCCCCAGTGTGGAGGGGCTCTCCTAAACCATGTGCTGGGGCCCTGCGGCTGCTGGGCCCAGTCAGGGCGCCCTGGGTAGGCAGAATGGGAGTGCACACTCCTACCAGGAGGGAGGAGCATGGCCAGCTGTGGGGTGAGCCGGAGGGAAGGATGTCAGGGCTCTCAGGCCTCAGAGTGACTGGCACTGCCTCTCCCCAGGCGAAGGGGAAACTGCAGGGCAGCATCGATGGATACGTGAGGGAGAAGATCCAGCTGGCAGCCGAAGCTATCTCCAAATATGCCTTCGAGAAGATCAGTGACGGTGATGTCATCCTGGTGTATGGATGGTACGGAGGAGGGTGCTTCCCTGTGTGGATGATCTGGCCCAGGGTGGAGGAGCTTATGTTCACTGTGGGCGAACTGGACAGTCCCAAACAAAAATACAGATACTTCAAAAGGCTAATTTCCCATGAGCAAAGTTGACTGGAAGGAAAATTTAGACAGAAAAATGTGAATGGAAATCAGGTTTTGTTTAAGAGAAATTCATGAGATGGCTAAAAATCCATGATTCCACAATCACAGAAGAGGACAACTGTGCCTAAAAGCCCATCCTGGGTCAGTGGGGAAGTGAAGGCAGCAGTAAGAAATAAAAAAGCAATATATAACAAATGGGAAATAGATAGCAATTGATATAAACTAGAAGCTAAGAAGTGTAGAAAATTGATAAGGGAGGCTAAAGACCTCAGGGAAAAATCCATGGCTAGGGACAATAAGGAGTTCAAATATATCAGGAACAAAAGAAATCCTAGCAATGGTGTAGGCCCATTACTAGATGGAGATTTTGGTAATATTGTTAATGATGTGGAAAAGGCAGAACTGTTCAATAAATATTTCTGTTCAGTATTTGGAATGAAGCAGGATGAGCTTTAGAGAGTTTGATCTGTTTAGTTCAGTAAGAAACGTGAGAGGTTACTTTGTTAGTGTCATTACAGCACCTTCCCGGGGGGAGAACAGTGAGGGCTCTTCAGTCTAGTGCAGAAAGGCAGAACAAGAACCCATGGCTGGAAGCTGGAGCCCAACAAATCCAAACTAGAAAGAAGGCACAAAATTCTCACCAGGAGGGTGATGAACTCTTGGGACAAACTGCCAAGGGCAGGGGTGGAGTCTCCCTCTGTTGATGGTTTCAGATCCAGACTGGCTGCCATTCTGAGTGTGCGTTAGCCTAACCCACGTTATTGGGCTCAGTGTTGGGGTAATTGGATGAGGTTCTCTGACCTGTGATATGCCAATTAGACTAGATGGTCCCTTCCCACCTTAAGCTCTATGAATTCACTTGTGGTGTCCTGTCAGCTCCTCCTTAGTGAACCGCACACTGTGTGACGCCCATGACAACGGTCGTGCCTTCCGGGTGATCGTGGTGGACAGTCGGCCGCGGCTGGAGGGCCGGGACACACTACGCAGGCTGGTGCGCGAGGGCATCCGCTGCACCTACGTCATGATCACCGCCATCTCCTACGTGCTGCCCGAGGTGAGCGGGCAGCTGTGCTGAGGGCAGAGGGGAAGGGTGTTGCTGGGGTGATAGAGGCAGAGCCTGCCACAGCTGTAGATTGGTGCTAGTTGATGCGGTGCCCACCCTGCAGGTCTCCAAGGTGCTGCTGGGGGCTCACGCGCTGCTGGCCAATGGCTCCGTCATGTCCCGGGTGGGGACGTCCCAGATCGCGCTGGTGTCCAAGGCCTACAACGTGCCTGTGCTGGTGTGCTGCGAGACCTACAAGTTCTGTGAGCGGGTGCAGACGGACTCCTTTGTCTCCAACGAGCTGGGTACGTGCCCTATGTTCTCCCGTGCCGTGGGCTCCACACCCCTCAGAGCAGCCGCTGGCCACGAGACTGGCCAATGTATGGCAAGTCCCAGCGCTGTGCCCTACTCTAGCCAGTCGGGGAAGTCATGGGGGGCAGGGAGGGGCTGTGCCAGTGCCAGCCAGCTCCTTTGGCTGGGGGTCTGTCCGAGTGCTAGCCAGTTCCTCCGGCCAGTCAGGGAAGTCATGGGGGGAGGGGGGCTGTCCCGGTGCCAGCTAGTTCCTCTGGCCAGTCAGGGAAGTCATGGTGGGCTGTCCCAGTGCCGGCAGCTCCTCCTGGGGAGGGGGTGCAGGTGCCCCTTAGTTCCTGACCCTGTAGCATGTCTCTATAGATGACCCCGATGACCTGATCGTGCCCGGGAAGGGAGGAGCCCAGCTGCGTGGCTGGAAGGAGAACTCGTCCCTGCGCCTTCTCAATCTGGTCTATGACGTGACCCCCCCCGAGCTGGTGGACCTGGTGATCACGGACTTGGGCATGATCCCGTGCACCTCGGTGCCTGTCGTCCTGCGTGTCAAGAACGTGGAGCAGTAGTGGGCGGGATGGGGGCTGCACGGACCCTCAATAAACCCTGCTGATCTCACGGCTGCCTGCTGGGACTGCATGATTGGGGAACAGGGCCAGAGCTGCACTGCATGGGCCCCCACCTGCCCCCAGGGGAACCAGCCCCTCTGCCAGCCCCCTGGGGAACCAGCCCTGCCCCATGGGTTCCTCTGAGGGTACCCAGCCCTGCTGCCTCCACCTGCCTGCAGGGCAACCAGCCCCTCCCCCATGGGCTCCTCACAGGGAACCCAGCCCCACCACATACCCTCAGGGGAACCAGCCCCCCCACCTGTCACCAGGGCAACCAGTCCTGTCCCCATGGGCTCTTCTCAGGGTACCCAGCCCCCGGCTGCCCCCAGGGGAACCAGCCCCTCCCCCACAGGTTCCTCTCAGTGTACCCAGCCCCACCTTCAGGGAAACCAGCCCTGCCCCCATGGGCTCTTCTCAGGGGAACTAGCCCCGCCCCCATGGGCTCTTCTCAGGGTACCCAGCCCCGCCCCCATGGGCTCTTCTCAGGGTACCCAGCCCCCCCCC